TCTCATAGGGAGTACCAAGAAATAATAAAGTATGCATTTTCACAAACCAATAATTTCACGTCAATCCATTTACAAAAAATCTAACAAAAGCTTATAATATATTGTATTTTTTTGTTTTTGTCAATTTTACAGATACTCTGAGTCAATACCTTGCATAGTAATGAAACCCTTCAACGCATCAAATGAGTTATTGTTTATATAATTATTAGAAGTAAAATCATTAATAATTAAAAACCTTAATAAAAGGTTTAAGTTGAACTAAAATAGATGAGTTAGCATAATTGTTATACATTTTCATAGTAATAACAATTTAAAGTGCTACTATGACCTGAATAGAAGTGTATTAGCATTTATCTCACTAATTTTTTATTTTGAATCAATTATAAAGTATGCAATTCAATAATAAATCTTTATCAAATTGAAGGTTTTTTAAATATTCTTATCAATTTGTATCCGGTAATATTTCAATTTTAGATTTAAATTATCCGTATAAGCATTGGATTCCAGGAAATCATACAGAAATAACGATCAGGTATTGTGATTCCCAGCGAAAGATATCAGACCAGTATTATAAAGCTTCTTAGGACTTTGGTATTCTCTTGCAATTTGATTTCCTGTAAGGGATTCCCTGACAGGTATTCCCTACATGGGATTCCCGGACAGGGATTCCTTGCAAGGGATTCCTTGTAAGGGACTCCCAATTGAGATTTGCTCGTCTTATAAAAGCTGACGTTGCTCTCAAGATTCATTACAGTCCTCAACGATCCTTCGTTTAGAGATAAACCAATAGCGACGTTTGCGAAAAATCAATTTTCAATCAATCAAAGTGTGTAATTTATAAGTATCATACATTAATTTATTTAATCAAAAAGTGACTTCAGAATTTTACAAAATTTTTTGTGTGAAAAGTGAAATTTTTTCAGTAAATCAAGCGTGTAGTTTATTGAAAGAGTGTTTTAGTTTCAACCCATGAAAGATTTTCTTTTATTTTAATAAGAACTGCTCTGATAAAAATTTTGAAAATTCATTTTGCTGATTCTAATTTTTCTGTACACGTAAATAACTGTAATTCGCACTAGTTACATCGAGTGCAAACATATTTTTTTACGACATTAATTTTCATACACGTTTCAGCGATCTCGATATATTTATTAAAGATCTTTTACTTACATAGTATTTTAATATAGAGATCAATTTTTGCAATATAATTTAACTGTTGTTTGAAAGGAATCATTAGTTTAATTTCGATTATTAATGTAACTTGAGTTACTTAAATTATTGATAAAATTGGAAATTAAAAAAATTTTAATTCTGACATGCTATCTCAGAAAAAAACTAATGAAATTGTTGTATGCCTTGTTATTTTTTCAGATGGAAAAGGATACTCGTACCCCTGCTCAAATAAAAGCTGACAATGACAACCACGCAAATCAGAAAAATCCCAATCATTCGGAATACAAAGGTGATAAGGCTAATGTGGACAATAGAGCCAGCCAAATGAATCCCAGATAAAATTATCCCAACAGTGGAGGACAGAAATATACTTGTTCTAAATTTTTGCTTTTTTATACTTTTTTACTTCCGATCATAATTACTGTTTCATCATAATTTACTAGTATGATCAATTATATTTAATATTGTATGTTCTTATTTCTTTCGAAAATTCATTTATTCGACAATGTATTTCATCACTATTCAATAATACTTGCATTAAAAAAAATATTCTTTAATTTTATTTCAATTGAAACCCTTCCATTTATAATTATCAGTAACATTGACAAATAACTTTGCTCCACTTTTCATGTATCATTTGCAATCGTTGAAACAATTAAACTACTTTAATTAAAGCAGTCAAGTATAAAAAGTTGAAGAAATATCTTTTGCTAAACTTCGTAAAAACCAGATATTACTAGTAAAGTTGGTGTTAAATATTAACTGTATGTAAAGACTTATTCTTCAAGGAAGTACTTACATCGAAATTTCGGCATAAATTATTAAGTGGGAAAAAATACAGTAACTTCGATATCGTAAATTTCGAATAATCATGCATCGTCGCATATATATTTTTGCTTACGGTAAGTAATTTATTCGACCACAGTCTTTTACCTCTAGGAAAAAATGTCGGTCATTTAAATCTGCAAATGAATTTTTTCTTATTTTTCTAATACGTTTAAAAAATTAAATTAAATGTAATGAAGGTGCTCGTATTGTTAATGAAACGCTTTGATTCAGATTTTCTTATAACGAAACTTATTATTTAACTTTAAAAAACTTTTTTACAACTGCTTATAACGTATTTGCACTTTTTAAATAATACATTCGTGCATATGTAAATTTTTAATATACAATTACACTAGTAGTAACCATGGTATTGAAGATTGTGTAAATCGGAATTGAGATGAGCCAAATCATGCTGCAAATGCTGCCTTTGGAACGGATTCCACGTGTGCTGCAACTCGTGCTCGATTTCATGGTACTGATGGTCCAGAGAATGTTCAAGCCCGCCGTAATTATTGTAGTATCCATACTGTGGATTGGCCGCACGAACCACTCTGATATTACCTATGCACATATCATTTTGATAACAATTAACGACTCTAATAATCACCTCGTTCAAAGTCCGAACTTACTTGGTTGAAAAGCTGGACTCGCTGCCGCGATCGCGACCAGTGCCAAAAGTACCAAGATCTGCTTTGCCATGTCGATGAAAACTCTATGTGAAAACTTGGGATTGTACCTACACGTATAAGATTCGAGGCGAAATCGCAACTGACGCCTACACCGCGAGGCATCCTTCTTATATATTCCTTGGCTCGGTATAGGATAAACTGTTATTTGACGTTCCCCCAAGACGTGCGCGCAATAATATTGAGTTCATGGGTTTTTTAGCCTGGCATCAATACTGTTTGGGTATACATCTTCATGAATATGCTTAGAAATCGCTAAATCACCTGTTGTACGTTCGAGAGGCACATCGCACCACACATTCGCACCGCTGCTCTCGTTATTCTAATGATATCGGTAAACAGGAAGAGTGCAAATTATCATATCAATGGAAGTGTCTCGAAAAAGTGTAATCGTCGCTCATAATTCGCAACTCTTTTTAATACGACCTTGAAAGTCAAAGTAATATAGATTCGGTTGAGAAAAACCATGATTTCACAGCTCGCCATGACAACGACGATATACATTTAACAGGTAATAATAAGCTCGTTAAAATGCACGCGCATTGCAGCCTAGGCCCATTCCGCGGCTGCTTTCGATTCCGTTCGCGTATACTCACACACAAGTATATACCTGCGAATAATAAATCAGCTCTACGCACTCGGCTCGGCGCAGTTACCTGCGATGATGTCGAAATCTCTTGGTCCACGCGCACACAGACTCGAGTGTAATATTTTGCGTGCGTAAATACGAGCGCGCGCAAAAAAAAAAATATTAAGAATTGAGTGGGTAAGCAAATCTCTCATTGCGCGGCGCGTCCTATATAAATCCTCGGCAAAAATAAACTTAGTTTCAGTTTACCTCGGTCTCGCGCGAGAGCTCGAGGAACGTATTTTTCTTTCCTTTCCGTATAGAGGCTGAAAAATGATCAAATCCTGCCTGATCTGTCTGCTCGGCCTGTTGGCGGTGGCGTTTTCGGCACCGAGCGAGCAAGGTATAACGTGTATCTCGGTTGAAAATAATGGGACATGAAGAAAGTGAAGTTAAATCTTTGATTTTTTATAGTTCTCGTGCGAGTGGCTCGCGCGGCCTCTCCGCAGTACGGCTACGGCGGTTACGGCGGTTACGGACATTATCCCGGCTACGGTGGAGGCTACGGCGGTGGCCACTATCACAACAGCGGCTTGCTCGAGCACGTCATCGACCATCAGTACCACGACGTGGAGCGCGAGCTGGCTCACACCCACTACTTCCATCGCAATCCCTACAGAGAGCACCAGCTGATCCATCAGCTCGGTCATCTGCAGCACGATCTCGACGACCTTCATCGGTTCGGCCACTTGCATTAGCGTGTGATTTATGTGTTGACAAAAGAAATATGAGAATCTAATTGAATTTACTTATACTTTATGAGAGATGTAATTCGTATTGACTGTAAATAAATTAATAAATATTTAGTTTTGTAAAATATACTTGATACTTAATTATTTTTCCTCATGATAATTAGTATTTATAGTATCTCAGATTTGAGGAGAGTCTATTTACTAAATACAACTTATAAGCATTATTTTAATTAAAAAATGATGAACTAAAATGCATAGATGTATTACTTGCACTTTGTAATTAAAGAGATCTGTACCCGAGCCTAAAAATCAAAATTTTGATCCAGTTTTCTGAAACTTCTATTCAATATTTCTCTAAAAAGCTCTATGGCGACCTTAAAAACATCAAGATGAAGGTTGCCATGGAGCCTTTTAAAAAAATATTAACTAGAAGTTTCAGAAAACTGGATCGAAATTTTGATTTTTGGTCTGAGGTACAGATCTCCTTAAATAACAAAATCAAGCGTATTTGTTTCACTTTTAAAGCAGTCGAGCGAAATATTAAAGTCTGAATTTTGTATGTAATAATTTCTCAATCCATTACAATACAATAGTTACTTTGACATAAAGAATGTAATAATTAGATAAAGGGTTAGAGAAAGACTAAAAATAAAAGTATTACACATCTCACAAATTTTACCTGGTGATAATGAAAATGCAAGCTATCGTTGCAATATTAATGATAAATATGAATGCTCGATAAACCTATGAATACTCACCTCTCTCATTTAGCATTTTTAATTAATTCTGCAACCTGTAATGATAATGTTCAACAAGGAAATGAATTATAAAAAATAAAAATTGTTTTTAGAAAAAAGATATATTTTGGCAATTCTTTTCTTAATAAAATAACAGCCTCATAACATCTTCCAATGAATTAAAATATGTTCAGCTAAACAATCGGATTTTTTATTCTAATAACGTTTGAGTAAGTTGATTAGTTCATGTTCGGAGTTAATAATGGTGAGAATCATGATGATAGTCGTCGTGATGATGGTCGTCGTGGTGATCGTCATCGTGATAGTGGGAGTGCGTTTGTGGCACTGGTTGTGGGTAAGCGACGGCTGGCACAGCTACGGGTACAGCTACGGGTACGTAGACTTGTTGATGTTGGACTTCGTGATGATGATGGTCGTCGTGGTGGTGGACAGGTGCGTGTGCTACATGTACTTGGGGTTGATGGTGGACGTCGTGATGCACTTGTTGGGGTTGGTAGTGTTGCTGGTGATTTACTCCATGGTAGTGCTGGTCATCGTGATGGTCATCGTGGTGATAGTCATCGTGGTGATGAGAATCGTAATTGATGGCGCCTATAATAATACAAAGTGGTACAATTTAGATAACTTCTGAAACGAAATTATTGAGAGTCGTGGTTGGTTCAAAAGAGAAGTATAAAAATCGACTTACCAGCACTCACTGCAGCCACAAAGGCAAAGGAAACGATTAAGGCGATTTTGAACATTTTTCGATGTTTTCTTCAACAGATCGAGAACGAAACTGATACTCCAATCGTCGAAAAGTCTGGCTTTTATAGTAAAATATCAGTCTAAGAGAGGGGACAATAAGACGGGTAAATTGACACCCGTGTAAATTTAAAGAATTAAATGCTTCTATAAAATATTCCAAAGAAGCAGCGGACGATGACACCGAGAAAATAAAGATGTATTTTTTAAGCTTATTTTCAAGTGATATGTGCATTCACATAGCATTGTACACCTCCTGCTTATTCTCTGAATATTCATGAAGTATTTTAACTGGGCTATTTTCGTATTATTTATTTTATTCTGGACTATATGAAAAAAACCAGATCTTGATTTTTTATTGCAATTCATCAAGAAATAAGAGTTCACGTGAGAAATATTAACGTATCATATAGATTTAGTATCATCTTGATCATTTCTAAGATGGATTGAGGGGTAAAACCCATATAGAATTAAAAAAAATACTAAAATTCGTTCGTTTTTTCCAAGGCCAGGGTAGATCTTTCAATTTGAGACTTTGATGACTAATAATACATGTCGTGCAGTACTCGATAATATTTTCTATTTTTACATGGCAGAAATATCTTAAATTCTCAAAAAAACGTTTGATTCGATTTTGATTTTTCAACCACCGAACACTTTTTTCGTTTCTAATAAGGCCTTGAACAATAAAAAATTACCTAATGAACTTTTTCCAAGGAAGTACGCTTTAGCGTAAAAGTAAAAATTGTAGATATGGCTGCTTTTAAATAACAAGAATCAATCTTCGTCGAAAAATGTTTTGTAAAAATTAGAATAATGATCGAACTGAATATTATTTGAAGTTCCAGTGAAATTTCAGCTTAATCTCTTCGATACCTTCCATGATTTCCAGTAGTTTTAAACAAGCGTATAAAGCGCTGTGAAAAAATTAAGTTTACTATATCTTAAAATTATTTTTATCTTATAAAACCACTTGGGCATCAATCTTAACATTGTAAGGGAGCTTTTTATCACATTAGAGAAGTCTCTTTCGTGTATCAAAATTTTAACAAGTAAATTATTTCAGATGTTTGAAGGAAGGTTCTCATGAGATGTAACCGAAAAAAACAATTTTAATTTGCATTTTCAAATTTTTTATACTTTCGTAAACCCCTCATTAAATTTGTTAGGTTAATCGAATTTTAAATCAGTCGAAGTCAGAAGAACAAGCATTTGTACGAAATTCAATGGTAGTTGACTAATTTTAACGCTTTTTTCTCAAAACCATGTTTTTTAAGACAGATGGGAAAGTATCTCGAAAATTTGTTGTTACATCAAGTTAGAGTTTTTCGGAATTAGTCGGATTGTAAACTAGTAGCAGAACGCTATTATTTTTATATATTTTTTTACAATATTCAAAGGAGGCAAATGAAAGGAAAAACAAATTTTTTTTGAATCTGCTAATTTTCAATTTTTAATTTTTTCGCTTGTGAGTAGTTCAAGATGTAGTAAATTTAATATGTAAAGATCGTATAGGCCGATGCCAAGGCTGGTAAACATTTTTCCAAGTCTTTGTTTTTGCTTCATAGGTGCGTATATTATTTTTCATGGATTCCTTAGCAGAAATTGACTTTTTCGTTTTAGCCACAGAGCTAAAAAAGGTGAGTTGCAGCTGGGGTAGCATGGAAAATAATTTTTTTTGTATTTTCTTAAAGTATTATATGTTTGTGCCGGGAAAAGTAAAAAGAAGCAGTTTCTCTACAGTAGCGTTTTTATTTTTGACCCGGATTGGTTTTACCAAGATTTGAACCACTTCACCGGGGGCAGAGGCTCATGCTTTATAACGCATCTTCATCAGCTGGACGTTTTGTCACTTAGCTAGTTTCTCAGCCGGTGCTAAAGTGTTGTTTCTGTTACTCATACATCGAATTAAGCCCCCTTAGAGCCAACTTCATAAAATAGCATTAAACTTCTAATTCAAATATCTTATTCATTTTCATAACAGTGGCACATACGCTGATAGTTTTCTGGCAATGAAAATGCAAGTTTTCATTGCAACGTTAATTTAAACATGAATGCTCGATAATCCTGTGAATGTTTTTTTTATTATCTCTCTTTCATCATTTTGCTACCCGTAAAGATGATATTTGACCTGTATAGGATATGCTAGCGCTGTGAAAAGACAAAAGAAGGAATAAACCTTCAAGGGTAGTTATGTGTGCATTTATCATTGACCTGGAATGGTTTTACCAAGATTTGAACCTCGATTTGAACCATTCCACTGATGACAGAGGCGTATGCTTTACATCGCATGACCATCAGACGGACATTATTTTCTAATACTTCTAAGACTTTTGTAGTGAACTTTCTATTTTCGTCGCTTGGCTAAGCGGCTCAGTCACCGCCAATGCGTTCTTGTAAGTGTGATTAATTAAATGTCCCAACGAGCCATAAAAAGTTCCACATCGAAAATTCAAAGAAAATTTCTTGTTTTCAGGAAATTTTGTACGTTTATGCCGTGGCAAAGACAAAAGAAGCAGCTACCCTACACTGACATTTTATTTTTGACCTTGATTGGTTTATTAAGATTTGAACCACTCCATGGATGGCAGAGAGGGTATGGTTCACACCGCATCTTCATCAGCGGGACTTTTTTTACTTGGCTAGTTTCTCAGCTAGTGCGGAGGATTTGTTTTTGTGATTCATAAATCGAGTTAAGCCCCCTTAAAGCCGAAAAAGCCTTCTTAAAGAGCATTGAATTTTTCAATTGAAATATTTATTTTCATAGAAGCGGCACATGCACTGATAGTTTTCTGGTAGTGTAAATGCAATTTTTCATTGAATGCTTGATAATCCTATCGTTGTTTTTTGTATTATCTCTTATTCATCATGTTGCTACCTGTAAATATGTTATTTGGAAAGAAAATCAAAAATAAAAATTGATTTTAAAAACGAGATGTATTTGTCAATTCTTTTTTTAAAATAAAATAACAGCCTTATAAAATCATCCAGCAAATTAAAATCTTTTTATCTAAATAATAACTTTTTCTTTATTCTAAAGCTAACATTAAAGTAATTCAATTTGTTCGTTTTCAATGATGTTGGTGCATGGTTCCGGTGAGATCGTGCCAAGCGTGGTGCAATTTCGAGAGGAGACCTCCTTGGCTCGGTGGATGGTGGTGGTGTGGCTCCTCGTGGTGGTGGTGTGGGTCCACGTGGCCATGATGCACGTCGTGATGCACATCGTGATGATGGTCGTCGTGATGATGGTGATGGTCATCGTGATGGTGGACAGGTAAATGCGAGGGAGGTGGTATAAATACTTTGGGATGCTGGTGAACATCGTGATGATGATCGTCGTAATGGTGAACATCGTGATGGTGATGGTCATCGTGATGGCCGTGGACATCGTGGTGATGTAAGTCGTGGACGGGTCCAGTAGGAGGTCGGTAGAAGCCCGGATCAACTAGATGTCCGGCTTGATATTGCAAATCGCCTATAATGATACAAAGTAATGCACTTTAGATATTTTCAAAACGGAATGATTGAAACTCGCGGTTGGTTCATTGAGAAAATGTAAAAGTCGACTTACCAGCACTCATGGCCACAAGGGCAAAGGAAACTAAGGCGATTTTGAACATTTTAACTGGGTTTCAGTTAAGACGTTTGCTTCGACAGATCGAAAACGAAACTGACGCTCCGATCGCCAAAAAGTTGGCTTTTATAGTAAAATATCGGTCTAGCATATGATTATGAATTCAGTTACGAAGAGAAGGAACTATAAGATGGGTAAATTTACACCCGTGTAGCCAAGAATTGAATGCTTATAAAATATTCCAAAGAAACCGAACGGACGATGACACCGAGACAATTAAGATACATATATTTCAGACTTATTTCCAAGTGATGCATTTAAAAAAAACACTGTACATCTCCTAATTATTCTCTGAATATTTATGAAATATTTTGACTGGGTCATTTTGGTCTATATTTATTTAATACTCGACCCCATAACAACAAGATCTCGATATTTTTATTGCTATTCACCAGGAAACAAAAGTCCACGTGGAAAATATTAACGCATTATAGATTCAGTATAATTTTAATAATCACTTCTCACGTGTAATAATTCAATATTAATCATTCGAGATACTTTAAATAAAACATCGAATACTAAATTTAGGTTTTATTTTTAAATTATAACTAAGCACAAAGAGCAGAGCACGAGTAATTTTTACAAGGCTCTTCCGAATATGAAACTTTTAATATGTCAGTGATTTCTTAGTTAAGTATCAGAACATTTGCTACTATTGTGGGTAAATATTTAAGAGTAAATTTGTTAACTAAATAATTACCAATTATGAGAGCTTAACGCTTTCACGTTTAAATTAAAACAGAAAACTATCAAACATAATCAAATGATTACGTATACGACGATTGTATTTTATAAGAAAATGTTGATGTTGAAAAGGGAGCGAAACTGAAAATCAAGATAAATTAAAACGAAAAACTTCATTTCGAAATGTTTCTAAAATTTGAGTCACTTTTATTAACTAAAAATTTTAGAAAGTCGAGAAGACACATGGATGATTGTACTTTAGTTATGACTGAGAGCCAAAAATCTTTAACTGTACTGCCGTAGATTATACTTGCGAATACTTCAAGGCTTCATTGACCTCTTGCAAACCGGTTACACGGACGTTCTTCCTCAATTGATACGATTGTATATGTATCAAAATTGATAGTAGAATTTCTATAAGACTATTATACATAGCATGATTCTAGGACTAACGCAAAAGAATGTGGATTTGTTCTTAAAATTTTGGAAAAGCTCGAATATGTATTATTATAAACCAATTTTATTGATAGTATTTCATATTTACATTTTTGATTGTACAAACAGTTCAAAAGCTGTTGTCAAGCGCATAACAAACTTAATTCTACTCTTATGAAACCAACAACAAATTTTTTTCAATCGACGAAACTTTCGAAGAATTAATGATGATAGTCATGATTACCATGGTGGTGGTCGTGGTGTCCGTGATGAGGCTCGACGTGATGCTCGTGATGATCGTGATGATGATGATCTAGGGCTTCGACGTGATGATGATGGTGAGGCTCCTCGTGATGTCCATGGTGGTGGTGAACATCCTCGTGATGTCCGTGATGGTGATGGGGTTCCTCGTGGTGTCCGTGATGATGATCATGCTCGAGAACGTCAACGTGATGATCGTGATGGTGAGGGCTCACATGATGATCGTGATGGTGCTGATCGTGACCCTGTTGATACGGATTCACACCGAACTGCTGATTGGCAAAGTGATTCGCACCTTGTGGATTGGGATTGTAAAATTGTCCTTGTTGCGGGTTATATAAGTTGCCTTGATTGGGGAAAATTTGTGCTGTAAAAAAAAAAAATACATAAATCGTGGTGTTTAATTCTTATCGGGTCTAGAATTATTGACCGAACAGGAAAAACAATTTATAATTAATACGGACCTTGAGCCACAGCTGCGAGAGCGAACAGAGCGACGATGAACTTGAACATTTTTTTTGGCATCTAGCTTTATCGTCACCGCGGAGAGGATACGCTCGAACTAACGTAGTTTTTTCGAAAAAGTAACGTCTTATATTAGCTTCCAAATATAGAGTAGGGATTCCGACTTTTTGGAGAAAAAAATAATTAAATCCGCTAATTTTTGCGCCGCGCGAGCGGCGGACTTTCCAGTTCGCGTCGTCGTAGCTCGTGTCCACAATGTAATGTGTATATATGTTATATAGTACGCACGCGATATTACTCTGGGCTATTCCCCGCGCGCATGAGGCACATTTGTCAACGGGAACGACTCCAAAAGTATTCGCACGCGGCGGACACAAATATTGAGATTCTTTTTAATTTATGCGCGGTCGCTGTTTAACTCGATCAGGGTCATTTGTGAGAAATGTGCGTGTATCAAAAGAGACTCTTTTTTCCCAGTATTTATGCAAATGAGGCTACAGTTCAAATCATCGATACAGAGTCTGCGCAAATTAATAAGAACATTTTCTTTAACAAAGAGTTTATCGTTATTCAATAATGAGAGTTGTAAAAAAGAAAAATCAAATATTATCTGGATAATCAAGGATTTGTAGTAATTTGAGAATTTTAACTAGTATTATAGCATTAGTATAAGTAACAATATTTTTGTATGTGCAAGTAAATCACTTTCAAATGTTTTTTATATGCAAAATTCGATTTTATTAAACATTAATATTTCATTCACGTTTCATAATCAAATGTCTATAAAAAGGATTTACATTACTTTGGCATTGACTCAAGAAATTCTATTGAAAAATTTTATGAACATTTAACAAAAATATAATAATCATTAAAAATGTTCGATAACATAAATTTTTTTTTATTACAAATATGTACATGACTTTTAATACTTAAAATCTAAAAACTGTTGTATCAAATCGAAATAAGCCATCTTTATTATAAGAACAGTTTTATGCTTCAAAGGGATTATAACTTAATGTATAAACATTTCAGAATTCACAACACTAGTTTTAGTGCCTCAATAAAGCTTCGAATATAAGGTCAATTATAACGAATAATATACATTACGTCACTAAGCGAGCTGCTGTAAAAACATAAGCAATAATTTTGATCATCGTACCAGACGATGACAACTTCAAAATAATGAAATGAGAATGCATGTAGAATGTTTTGTTTCTTGAAAGCGTATAAAAGAAAGTCAAAAAAATAATCAACTATCCTTGATTTGTTCTCGTCACAATTTTATAAATATTTAAAAAATAATTAAACATCAATTGCACCGTTTAAGAAAATCATGCGTAACGACTCTTGTATGCTGAGGTCATTTGCTCCAAAAAGATGAATGTTAACACTGTATGGGGCCCAAGACGAGCGTAGTAAGGAAAGAATCCTTTCCACAGAGCAAATACTCCCTCATTGCGTACTACCTTGCCCAAAACATCTATTGCACCCTTGAATTCAGGCTTTCCATCAATAGTTTTCATATTTTGGATTCTACAAAAATAACAAAATATTGTTATGATGATGGTTGACTTATAAAAAGTATAATCAGTTAAAATTTTAAGAATAGTTTACCTTGTTTTAGCAATATCAACTGGCATAGAAGCTGCTGTAGTTACCAAACCAGAAATCATTGAACTGACGAAATGTAAAGTTATGTTTTCTTCAAAGTATCCTGCAATAAGACAGAAATATTATTAGCAAATATTCTATGATATTAAATTTGTATGAAAAGGAGTGAAATATTTCACCTGTATCTAAGAGGGCTTGTTTGGCTTGTGAATACGATGCTAGTTGAGCTGCGTTGACAACCATTGCTCTTCCCATTGTTGGAATAGCTCCTCGCCACAGAGCAAAAACACCTTCTTCTCTTGTAATACGTATCAGAGCATGAAAAACATTCTTGTAATTTCTTCTCTCAGCTAAAACAATACAATGTGTGCATTAAGGTTATGCAATACATAAAATTTTCTTGGCATATTTTCAAATATTTTCTGATAAATGACAAGTTAACACAATGTATTAGACTTGCATGTTTTTGAACTAACCAAGAGGTAATCTGCCATCAGCAGTCATTCTTATAAGAGCAACTTCAGCTGGAGTTCCAACAAATGCTCCAACGCACCCAGCAGCCATACCCAGACCAGCTTTAGTTATAAAATTAGGCTGACCGTCTTTCCTATAAAAATATTATAAAATCGATGTAATGTTATCGTTATTTCACAACTCATGCTAATAGATTTTTTTGACTCACGAGGCCAGTTCAAATAGCCATGTATATATTCCAAGTCTAGTTGTTGTGTAAGTGGCTTGTCGCATTAAACCAGCAGATAATCCAGAATACATTGCAAAAAAGCCTTCATTTTTCACAATTGACCCAATGACTGACATTGTCGATGTTTTGGTTTTACTTAACTGCATGCGATTCTTTATGAGGTCAAGTGGCTGCACAAAGCATGTGGCAGCCATGCTAGACAAGAAAAAATGTTATCGATTAGCATTCATTAATAGTACCAAAGTATCTTGTCATTGCCTTTTGATAAATAATTATAAAATAAGAGAAAAATTTGCATTTCGTTAAATATTCAATACAATTGATTGAAATAAGGTAATTAACTTCCGAATAAAATTTGACAATTCATGACTCTATAGATAAGGCTAAAAAAATGTACACATTGTGTACAACACTTGAAATAGTTTCATCACATTGTTTATCAGAGTCACATGAAAAAGATTTTCGAGCTAAATGACGTAAAATCATATTCGATGGTGTAATCTCTCACACCGCTCGCTAACGAAAACAACGTAACGGTATAACATTTTACGTAAAATAAAAAAAAAATAAATGAAAGTAAATCGACGTCGTGAACTATAATAATTTTCTAAAAAAGACTGTATTTACCCGGAGGTGCCTCCAATGAGAAATTTGATGCCGTTCGGTACCGTCTTCTCGCCCATTGTTGTGAATTTCGTTTGACGCACGGTGCACAATGCCAATTATTTCAACGAGCTGTTGTGCCGACCTTGGGGCGTCGCACGGAAAGACAGCAGCAGCACGTGATACAAAATAAATGTAAATTTAAATGTAATGTAGCAGTCGTCGTCTGGTCCACCGCTCTATCAATCTAGCAGCGGATGAAAGTGTGTGCGTGATGTGTACAATACGCACGTCGTCGTCTACTTGGGGGGTAACGCGCACAGAGAGAGAGAAACTGCAGTGTTTGATTACATTCGCCACGACGACGACTGCTCGGCTGCTGCTGCAGAGAGAATTGCCGCCTGCCCTGCTGCAATATCCGCGCGCGATACAAAGCCACCCGGTAGCGCCATCTCGCGTGGCGAGCGCCGAGATTCGAGGCTATTTTTCGATATCATCGTGAGATATACCGGGTAATGCATTTTAAATAGATTTTTAAAGGTATTTAAAAATAGTTAGAGGTAGATTAGCGACGATGAGTCAATTTTTCCACGCGGTTGATTCGTAAGCATTCCATAGCTTATTGACGGAAGTCCGATGTTTTCAATGTGCCATTGCGACGTTGTTGATGTTGGACTTAGAGTCGGCTTTTACGGAAAGCTTTTGCGTAAGGCGATTTTATATTTTTACTCCAAAAACAAAAACATCTAAGCACGATTAAAATATTAAAGTGTAAGACAATTAATGAACTATTTTTTTAGATGTATTTATTCATTCATTTATTTGAATAAAATGGACAGTCTTTGACAGTTAATAACACCAAGCATCGAAAAATACAGTAAGTATGCTTATGGCATTTTTTGAATGTTTATATTGATTTATTTATTGATTTGAATAAAATGGACAGTTTTTGACAGTTCATAACACCAAACATCGAAAAATACAGCAAATATGCTTATGGCATTTTTTTAATGTCTATATTGATGCATTTATTTATTTCAATAAAGTGGACAGTTTTTGATACTTAATAATACCAAGCATCGAAAAATACAGTAAATATGCTTATGGAATTTTTTAAATGTTTATATTGATTCATTTATGGATTTGAATAAAATGGACAGTTTTTGACAGTTAATAACACCAAACATCGAAAAATACAACAAATATGCCTATGGCGATTTCGAGCTTTGGTCCGCAGCGGCCAGGCAAACATTCAATAATTCTTCGTTGGTCAGCTTATCGATGATCATTTCGCAGCAATCAAGCACTAATCGGTGCTGCGTCAGCTCCACGAAAGAATCCAGCGCCCATCGCCGGAAAAATCCCCTCGACATTATCTCGCACATGTCATCCACGCAGGTGATTTTGTGCTCTCGGTCGAGTCCGGAAAGTATCTTCGAACGCCAAAAATTGTAGTAGTCCGTATACGCAAACAGTTTTTCGGCCTCTTTCCGTGGTAACTCGAAAAAATCGTACAGCGACAGCTCGCTCGGCTTCAGGATAATTTTTTTCGCCTTCTCCGCGAAATCCTCGTCGTTGCGCCAACGTTGGCGAACGGTCGGCGACTTCTGGAACAATTTGTACTCGACGAATATCGCCGCAACGTTCGAAGCATTGACTCCGAGCTGGTATCCTCTTCCCTCGAGACGTTCCACGATGGCCAAAACGCGAGACGCTACTCTCAATTTATAATAATTGGGCCCCTCTCCTAGACAAAATTTACAGCAGTTCTGGTAAGGACTCAGTACGGGAAAAACGAAATTAGACGGATCTGCGCCACGATCCAGGAGCACATACCGACCATTTTCAGCGAAAGATTTTTCACGGCTAATTGCAACGGTGTGTTACCCTTATTGTCTCGAGCGTCAATTTGCACCAGCTGATGCTTTTCGTCGTTGATCATGAAGAATTTATTTAGCCAATCAGCCATATAATCGTCGCTGCCATCTTCGCTGTCGTCGTCGCAGTCATCCCATCTGTCGTCTTTTCTTTTTTTTGCGCAAAGAATGTGCAGAGGTGTCGATCCGGCCCGGTTAGCCAGATTGGGATCGGCTCCGCTTCTCAGCAGCAATTCGAATGTCTTCTTGCGTCCGCAGTTCAGAGCCATGTGCAGCGGGGAGCTGCCTGATATCGGATTGATATATTCGAGATCCACCTTGCCAAGCTCGAGAAATTTCTTCGCGACTTTGTAAAAGCCGTACTGGCAAGCTATGAGAAAATGCGTGGAATCGTGGTTGTCGCGGTAGTTCACATCAAATCTGTCGTATATTTTAAATAGATCATGGATAACTTCATGATGATGGTTATATATAGCAGCAAAATGTATCGGTGTGTTGCGACGCAATATGGGCCTGCCCTTCCGATCGATTTCGGGCTCGTCCTTGTAGCCGCACCTGATCACAAAATTTATGAGATCGTATTTTTGCTGCCATTTCTGCATTATGGACTTAGTGAGAAGCCAGTCAATTTCTTCACTTCGAAAGATGTCTCGAAGATCTGGAAGTTCGCCCTTCCAATCTCTGATCAAATCGCAAAACTGACTGAGAAATTCGCTTCGCTCATTTACGTCCTTCCAATTGATCTTTTTACGCAGTATCTTCAATTTTTCTGAGCTGTCTATGCCAGAGAGCGAGAAGAGCCGCCAGTCCATGTTCGGAATCGTTATCGTTTCAGTTCTTGGCACGCAAATACACAACACACAATAGACAATTTTTTTTTTAAACTTTTTTAACTTTTATCGATGCACTTTGATCTCACTTTGCTGCTCGCGCTGTGGCGTTGTAACGCTAACTGACCCCCATATTACATTATCGATTTACAAGTATATCCCAGGCACCCCTTGAAGCGCTGCGCGCGCACCAAAAGTGTACCCCTGCTCGCAAACGCCATCTACCCAAATACGTCAAATAATTGTAGTGGATTCATAAAGGATATATTAGCATAAAATCGATAATTTAGCTTTAGCGATAAGTGAATTTTTTTTTCGTTTGATAGAGTGTAAATTTTATTATTACGCCAAGACAGATTAAGATCAGCCAAGCTGAAAGGCGTCTTGGTCTTCGACGACCTTGGGACGAACGACCCGCTTGCCTCTGTCCCTCTTCGGGACGCTCGTCCTGTCGGCGGCCTCCTCGTCCCTCTTGTGACGGGTCAAACCGACGTCCCTTTTGAATTCCTGCAAATGAAATAAGTCACATGCATTGGATTTTGAATATTACCTCGTATTAATTAAATAGCTTTCTCTATAGAGGAAGCAAAATTGAACGATAAGATACCTCGATGGCTTTGACGATCGGATAAGTGGGCCGGACGCCCTGAGACTCTTTCATGATTTTTTCGCCGTAAGCCAAGACCCTCGCGTTGGCCGTGTCGATCATGTCCTTCACGGCCTTCGAGTCGTCCTCCTCCTTGGCCAACTTTTTTTTCTCCCTCTCTTGCTCGATCTGCAAATTTCAACCGAATCTCGTGATTTTCTGCACTCTGTACTTGGATCGATAACGATGTAATTATTAATACCATCTGTTTCTTCAATATCTTGCCGTAAGTCAATCTCTTGCTCTTCTCTTCGAGTCGTTTCTGCTGATTCCATTCTTTGTTGAACTCGTCCCGCTTGTATCTTTGCAAGGCCTCCCAAAGTTGCAATTCCATCTCCTCCTTTCTCTTCCTCTCCTGCTCCTCCTCCAACCACTTCAATTGTTCTTGCATATCCCGACGAGCCTTTTCCTTCTTCTCCTTGGCAAGTTTGATTTTTTCCAGATCTTCCAGCTTCTTTTGCTCTTCGAGTTTCTTTACTATCGCATCTCTGTGCTGTTCACTCGAAGCCTCGCGCTCTTCTTTTTCTTTCTTTATTTTCTCCAGTCTCTTGGCTTCAACAAATACATACTTTGTATTAGGATTCATAAAAAAGAAAACTGTTATCGCAGTCAATTACCCAAAACTTCTATTTGACGCATCCTTTCGTCTTTGGCGGCTTTAATTTTTTCCTTCAGCGATCTCTGCATTTCCGTCTTCATCTCGTTGAATATCTTGACGACTTTCATCTCGAACTCCTCCTCCTCCTTGACCCTCTTCTCGTACTTTTTCCTCTCCTCGATGGCTTCGTCGAACATCTTGATCAGTGCCTCGCGTTTTTCTCTGGCCTACGCTCGACGAAAGAAATGATAAATGATTCATGAAAACACACAGCATCATCCATATATTTACATACTAATTTCAATTCGCGTTCTTTGATCTCGTTTATCTCGTTCGACATGTTCCGAATGTCCTCCAGCTCGGCCTTTCGTATGGATTCCTCCAATTTCTTCAGAGATCTTCTATTCTCCTCGACCCTAATGACACAAATTAAAATTTCGATGCAACAATTATTGCAAAAGTATCAAAACATGTGATACCAACTGTCTATCCAAAGCCTCGTTGTGCTTCTTCAATTCTCTCATCCTCTTCTCGCGTTTCTCCTCCTCCTCCAACCGATACTTTTCCACGTCCTCGATCACGTGCCTCGCCCACTCCTCATCCAGTTTCCTCTCCGCGTTTTCCTTCTCGCGCTTCGCCTCTTTTTGAGTCTCCAGCACCCTGTAACCCTATATACTCGCACGGTCTCAGTATAACGCGAGGAAAATTCGCGCGATCGTATTACATCGATACCTCGGAAACGAGGAGCGCCCGATTGATCAATCTACACTGGGGCTTGCGCTGCAGTATCAGCTCTCGGGCCTCCTTTAAGACCTGCGCCCGGTTGGCGGCGTTCTCCGCCGCGAGCTCCTTCATCAGCTTCACCCTCTGGGCTTCCTCGACCTGTCGCCTCGACAGCAGCTCTTGCTTCTTGCGATTGGCGATATTTTCCGCGGTATCCTCCCAGTTTTTCGTCATCTCGTAGGCGGCCTTTCGGAGCTCGGCGATGCGCTTCGTCTCGCGCTCGGCCAGCAGAGCGACTCGCTGGTCCTCGAGCGCGTACTCGTGATAGCGTTGAAACTCATCCTTCGGGACGATCAGGGCCCGGGTTCGCTGATTCTTCTTAACGATGGAATTTCATCGATTAATTTTCATCGAGGAAAAGGAGCGAGTTTACTCACGTTCCCGTAGTAATAGGTCGAGTGCGGGCCCCCAGGCATGCAGCCTCTCATTTTCACCATGATGATTGCCGATCGAAGCGTCACTGATAATTTTTATCACGATGATTTTCCCTCGATGTATAAAAATTAGGTTAAACTTGATTGACAGCTGCTGTGCACGAGGACACAAGCGTGGCGTCCGTACGCATATATTATACATGCAACATCTGCTGAATATCACTGGTAATATCACAGCTATGTACGTCCGGTTGCCATGGGCACCCTGTATATAACGCGAGCGCGTGTGGGTGTCGATATCCAAGAACAAAGGAGCTTTCGGGGGGAAATAAATCATCGCCACTGTGCTGTTATTTTACGAATATCATGTTTTATTAATTCAGATTGGAATATCGCGTACGTTATAAATAATCATATATTTTTTGCTTTATGTCTGGGTTAAAAATATATGCGTGTACTTTTTTGAATGTCGAGTCCATTTCGGCTCGACCTTTTTTTCGCGTCGTATAGACTCGCTCGAAGGTACGTGCGTACTTCTGGTCGATTTTTTTTTCTTTTTTGATATGCTATCGATGATGAAAATTCGTCTGTACTCGTTTGTCAGCTGCGATCACTTCGTATGCGTTTAATAAATCAATCGCTAAGAAAGGTCACGAAGCGGCAAAGAAAATATGTTCGAGTCAACGGAAACAAAGATCATATTTTTGCATTTTGGCCGTAGTTTGCATATAGCGACAGATGAGTTGAATCTGTCAAGAGGCTGTATTATAATATCGATACAAAAGTTCACATACAAAAGATGACTGACAAAATTTCGAATTGACTAAACTTTGCATTAACGTACTCAGCTTACTGGTAACACGGGTTCTTTTTAGCGATTACAACAGTTATTTAACTTTTTTTCGTTCGTTTTCGCGAGTGTACAGAGAATCACGAAGGACACGAGTATCTCATGCTCACGAAAAAACGCTATATAATAAATAAATTCACACACATCGTCTATATTCGTCTAGATATGCTTTTACATCGATAATTTTTTTTTCCACTCTTTGCCACAACAATAATACAACGTACATAACATCAGATTAAATATCACACTTATAATAACAACGGGAGCAATAATATATTTTTTATACTTTTTTTTCTCGTTTAACAACAGCAATGTAAATACAATTAATTTATCCATCGGCGATGATGTATAGCACTTGCATAAAAGATATACAACACGAATTTAATGTACTTTGTCATACGTGTACGTCTTTGTCCTCTCTGACTTGAAATGCACTTTGGGTTTCATATATTTATAAATGTTTGATCCGACGCAAAGGAAAAACAATTAAAAGTTTCAACATGATTTTAAAACTATCACACACAAATATCTATTCGATATACGTAATTAATAGGATGGTCGAGAATGATATATATTTTTTGATATAATGACAGTTACAATGTGTCGTATAGAACTTGGCGCCCTATGGAAAAATAGAGGTCTACTATATATTATTATTATACTGTGAGTATGGAAAAATACGTCGCCTATGTTTATTACAGTTTATCATAGAAACTAGTCGTCAAAGATAGACGTGTTGTGGGACGCGAATTTTGTCTAATACGGTTACTAATGTATTTTTCTGTTTTGTTTTTTCTGTATGCTTAGCATGTAACTATGGTCGAGTATTTTTGTTTGTATTTCACCTCTCACGATTATCATCTCTCCGTCTCTTTCATCTGTGCAGCGATCGTTTTGAACGTCGTCGTTTTTTATTTTTCGTGTATACAGTGGCAGTGTAGAAAGAGAGAGATTTGAAGCCTTTTTTGTAAGTGAAATGCCATCGAAAGATTCAGTAATATAGATTTTTTTTTATAATGCATGGATATTTTCTTCTTTTTGTTTTATCTTTATTCGTTGAGCGATATCTGCGGCTTTGCATTTATTTAATCTCTAATGCGACAACGAAGAAACAAATGTTACAAATCGATACGATAGCTATTATATTTTGAACATTTTTTTTTCGCGTTGCTCATGTTTTGAAGACGTAAAAATCAGTCTACGCAGTTGTACGAGTGTGTGAGAAAAAGCTCGTTTTTCGGCCTAAAAACTGCTAATAATATATAATAATAATAATAATTGCAATCATCACAACTCAAGGAGTATCATATATCGTCAAAGTTAATACCACAAGTTTTTTGTACAATATCATCATATAATAAGCGTACCGCGAGGAAGCATGAACCGAACACAATTATTACGTAATTGAATACACGTCCACGAAGATTTTTTAAAATTTTATATAACAATAATAGTAATAGCCATGATACACGTGTGATTTATGCGTAGAGACATTTATCATCATGAATTAATGACCGATCATTACAATGAACATCGAACTTAGAACTTGTGCGTCTTGTAAAGCCATACGAGATTGGACATCTTTCCCTGCTGCCTGAGCACCATCCTGACGTAGAGGCCACCCGAGCCACCCTCCTCGATCGGCTGTGGAGACGACGACGTCGGGGTCGGCAGCGGCGGGCTCGTCTGCTGCTGCGGCGGTGGCGACGGCGTCGGCGGCTCGATCGTCGGCAGAGGTATCACCTCGATGTTGGCCTTGATACCGACGACCTTGACCTGCGGCTGCGGCTGCGGCTGCTCCTCCTCGATGGACAGCGACTCGGCGCCCGAGCCCGAACTCGCGTGCGGGCCACCCACGGGCGAGCGACTACGCTGCTGCTGCTGTTCGCTGAGGCATTGCGGGCAGATGTCGTCCGCGGCGTGCTGAGCCGCGGCGGCCGCGGGTTAGTTGCTGTTCGCGGCCGACTGCTGGGAGGACTGTCCACCGCAGCCGCCCAGCTGGGCGCCGGCGCTGTTGCCCGATCCGGCGTCGCTCCCCAATGAGTTGAGGGTCACGTTGCTGCCGTACGGGTCGAGGGACGACTGCACGGACATGCTGCGGCCCTGGCGCCTCACTCGGTGGGGACTGAGTTGGCCTGGATCGACGCTGGTTGGGTCTGCCTGTCCGGCGGGCGGGAGCAACTTGGCGTATATTTAATAACTTCAACACAGGGGGGGGATTCAGGGTTGTAAAGGTTCGATTTTCGGTTCTCGAATCAATTTAATTCGCGCAATTAACTTTTTTACTACCTCGAGCTTGAACATCTCGGATAACCCGGAGATCAATTGGATTCGAGAATCGTGGATTTTTCAAATTAAGTTTTTTACAACCCTGATGGAATTACGTAACATCTAATATGCCGATATGGACCACTAACCTGATAGGCCAGTGCGTTGACGATCATGGTGTGGGGCACCAGACCGAGCGGATGAACCTCGTGCATCAGCACGTTGGCCGGGATCTTGTGAAACTGTATGTACTCGATGAAGTTACCGATGACCTCTTTCAGGTCCATCTGGGGATTGCTGTCGCAGGCCTTCTTGCTCCACATCAGGGCGGCCTGAAACTTGGTGAACTCGTCGGCTCGGAGCTCGTCGCGGGCCAGGATCAGACGCACGACGTGCTGGGGCAGCAGCGTGAACGAGCCCAGATTGAGCACCTCGTTGCCGCGCTCGTCCACGAACTCGAGGACCTTCTGGACCAGCGACTTGGTGCACTTGTACTGGATGTAGCGCTCCGCGGAGGCGAGCAGGGCGCAGACCGTGTCCACGGTGATGCAGTAGTGCACGAAGCCCGCACAGGCGCAGCGCAGCTCCTCGAGGCCGTAGTAGTCGGCCGCGTTCATCACACCTGTGTAGATTTTTTTTTCGTTTCAAAATTTCATTTCATTTTAAAAGAAATTTTTTTTTAACGAGCGAATCTTACCCAAGAGGGTGCGCGGCTGCAGCGTCACGCAGCCCGTGTGTATGTACTCGATCAGCTGGCGGAACACGTCGGGCTCGAACTCCTCGATTATCAGCGTGTGATGCTGATGCGATTGGGGCTGCAATTACAGGCGAATATACATTCAATAATCCGCGCGCAAAGCTACCAACGAGTAGCGGATAATAACTTCCAATTAAATTTATATCGATATCAAATGTATATAGACAAAAGGTAAATGATCAAACTACTGGTCAAAGGCAAAGGTGCATTTAATATATAATAACTGGGATAAAACGAGCCAATAATTGTTTCGTTGCATTAACTACCTGCAAATATCCAAATGTGCGTGTCTATCGAAGGCAGAGACGGTAAATTATTATTTAAAAAGTGATAAATTGGTCTGAATCCACTCATGCTCATGCTTGGTTATTATTATATGAAAAATCAAAAAGCCTTTAATATACGGTTGTGAAGGATCAAAAATTGTATCGATCAATTTTTCTAATAATATAAATAGGTGCGGTTCAAAACGTAATGAATTATATGTAATTAACGTGTGATTATATTCATAATCAGGTTTTTAGCTACTGCGACGAACTGTGATATATATAGACAAAAGAATTTAATTATAACGATGATATATTTGGGCTGCACATAGAGTAATTGTACCTCTTGTATGGGAGCCAGCTGCTGCGTGAAACCGGCCCGCTATAACATTTAACGTGTTATAGTCGTTTTTGTATTGTTTCTACTTTTTTTTTTTAATTTGTCATGTTTCGTTCAATTCATGCACTCGCTCGTTTCACTTACGAGCGTTACAAATCAATCTGATTTCTATTATGATTTCTCAATGTATACGAGCTTACGAGAGCTTTTCGTACAAAGTGCGCGGTGTGCAGTGTGTACAATGAGAATCGTATGTATACGTCGTGATTACCTGTTGCACGTTCTGCAAATTGAGCAGCGGCTCCGAGCTCCTCTTCAGAAAGGACCTCAGCTTGTTCTCGCGCGTTGGCGGGTCCTTTTTACGCTGCGGACTCGGCGCTTGATAGAGCATCTTGTGAAAGACTCTGCGCGAGACAAAGAAAAACAATCATCAATTGTAAACTTTTAATCCAGATCGAACTTTGTTTTAAGCCTTTTTTCCGAGCGGGCGCGCGTGACGACGCTTCGTCCTTCGCCACCGGTCATAGTTCAATATCGAGGTATTAAAGTGACATTGAAAGAGAGAGAGAGGATATATAGGAGAGAGAGAGAGGTATTAATCTAGCTGAAAAGTCCTTCAAAGTCCGCACGGCCACGCGCCTCCAATCCAACAAACGGCTCGTTTGTCCCTGACCGTCGAGCCTCGCGACACCCACCCCCCAATATATAAAACCTCGGTGAGAGAGAGAGGCGCGTCAATTTTATTACAGCTTAGCAGTAGCTGCTAACTGCATCAGCGAGAAACGAGAGAAACATTTTCAACGTATAAATAAAAAATAATTAAATTAACGTAAAACTCACTTGCTTCTGGCGGCGAGGACGGCTTTGACGGCGCAGACCGGCTCGCGGGTGTCGCCCACGAGGAAGGTGACGTCGCAGAGCTCGGGCATGCGAGCCAGAAACTTGAGATCCTCCGCCAGGCCGGACTTGTTCTCGAAGGTCGAGTTGTCCGAGTCGTCGGCAGCCAGGCCGATGGCGATACCCGCGCCCAAGCCCAAGCCACCGCCGCCGACGGCCATCGAGGACGCCGCGGCTGCCTCCGGCATCGTCGTGCTCCTGCCCAAGTCCTTCTCGAACGAGCCCTCCTATACAATAATAATTCGAGGAAAGAGTCGAATGGAATTATATATAGCTCGAGCGACTGTGTACAGAGTCGTATATACGTCGCATAGAAAAGCTCGTACCTGTTGCTCGGAGCTGCCCAGAGCCGTGGGGCTTGCTCTGCTGCGCGAGAACACTGTGTCGAAGTGGCAGCGGACGCACTAGCTGTTGCACACTCCCCAACGCTATCCTCTCTCTCACTCGCTCTCCTTCCGCGGCCGAAAACTTTTCTCCTCTACTACGAAGTGGAGCTTTTTTCCACGAGAGCTTTCATGACTGTTGTTGCTGCTGCTCGACGAAACTTGTCTCGAATCGAGAATATCACAAAACAGCAGGAGAAAATATCGAGAGAGACTCGAGAAACATACAGCGTCGATTATACTATTACTACACGCGAGCAGCGCGCGACACGAGTAGCGATCGATTCCTGGAGTCGTCGGCTGCTGCAGGGTTTCGTTTGGGACGAGCCTGTCTGCCTCTCCCTCTGCTGTTGCTGTACGTTTCGCGCGCGCCACACGCACATCGTAGTATGGTCTTGCTCCTGCGCAGAAGCCGAAGAGTTGGCGAGTGAGCTTGCGCGGCGAGCTTGCGCCCTGGCGACGATCGAACTTTCTCTCTCTCTCTCTCTCTCTCTCTCTCTCTCTCTCTCNCTCTCTCTCTCTCTCTCTCTCTCTCTCTCTCTCTCTCGTTCTCCCACCCTTTTTTGCCTCGCGTTGTATCGTTGCTCTCGCTCCCTCGGGTGTTGGTTAGGTATGTATGTATGTATTTTAATGTATAAATTATTATTGTATGTCACCGCCGAGCTGGACGGTGGATGGACGACGATCTCTCTCGCTCTCTCTCGTGAACCTGAGACAATACAATCGCATTAGTGCACAAGCGCGCACGTCGCTGCTCTGCCTGTGTGTCGCTCGTCGGAATGACCCGAGAGAAAAAGTATATCATTCGTTACATTTTCATTAAGGACGATTTCAATTTTCGCCTCAACTTTTTTCCAGCCGGTACGGGCCTCAATAATTCATAATATTTTTTAATTCCGTCTATAAATCATTTCCAACTCCCTTTTACAGTAAAGGTCTATATGCTGGCCAGACCGAGAGAGAGAAGCCACTGACTTTTTTCCTAATCCACTTTTAATAGAGACAAACTCGCTGGTAATTAAGAGAGATTCAGAAAGAGAGAGAGCGAGTCAGGTGTGAAGTGGCGACATAAAATAAAAGAGAATTAGGCCAAGCCATAAATCAATGTATCTATCACCGAGGTGTGCAGCGTTGCAGCCGCAGTAGTATATATAGCGACTCTCTCCGTCTCTCTCGACTAATTTATATTCTCAGCGAGCCACGTTCGCTCCCACACATATACATACGCACGCACGACATACACGCCTTTGTACTCAATGCAATTAATTTCTGAGCTATCGAACGAAGAGAGAGAGAGAGAGAAAAAAAAATTACTTGTCATCGATTAATCCCAACAACTATGTGCTCGGGTCTTTTCAGTTTCTTAACAGGAATGGACAACTTAACGTTTCGTCGGGAACAAAACCCTGCAGAACAGAAGACAAAAAGTGCTTTGGAGCACCAAAAAACGAAAAATTCATCGCTAATAACGAATGGGGGATACACAATATTAACTTATTTTGTGCCTTATATATCGACGGAATGGAGACGTGTTACTCTTCGTGGGGACCGTCGATAAATTCACCATAATTTTGCTACTTGCGAGTTTACAATACGCCATCTGTCGGCAGAATCTAAAAGCTCAAGTAATCAAATATCACCGTAAACCTCGTTACTCGTTCATCCTCTGCACCGTAAAAAGCCTTTAGCCTCTCGATATCATTATTTACATTATATTTTAACGCGTCTGCGCCGTAATAACGAGCGATTTTATTTCTCGCGCAGCGGCAACACGCACAAACACGGCTTTATAAACACTTTAATCTATTCAGCCTATCTGTGCCACATAATTACGGAGCTTTTACACGCTCTCTCTCTCTCTCTCTCTCTCTCTCTCTCTCTCTCTCTCTCTCTCTCTCTCTCGAGTTCAAACGCACGAGCACGCGCCGCTGTGCTTCTTGTACATGCATGCATGTATATGCAAGGGTGCTCTGCTCTCTGGGCGCGCGCAAAGTCGATTTGTGCTTGCGCTGCGCCGCCGCCGCAGCCTTTATTATTTATTTACACCGAAAATATATAGTAGCCTCGACAGTGCATGTATTTATAAGGTATTACCCTACACGAGTACATTTCCGAGCGACAGAGAAGCTCACGTTTCACAGTTTCCTGCGTTTTGCATATTAAATATTGTTTTTTCCTGTGTGTGTGTGTGTTTTCTCGCGCACACGACCGCCGCGTAGCCACTGCACCGCTGCCGCTGCGCGTCGAGTGCGTGTGTAAACACGCGCGTGTCAGACAAAACCAGCTCCAAACTGTTGGCTTATTTATGGCAGAGAAATGCCTGTTGAATTATTAAACATTGTTGGTCGAGGCCAGCCACTCGGTATAGAGTATCCTCATCCTCCTCCTGCCTCTCCGAAATGATGAATTGTTACAATGAAATTAATCGTTATTGTATTAGCTGGATGGCGAATATAATGCACAAATAATGTGCGCAAAAATTTTCACGAAGCGCAGAGAGAGATTATTGATTTTCCTGTGCGATACACTACACATCGGCTAGAAATGTGGCCAGAACTGCAAAGAGAGAGTCTAGGCTCCGTGGAACAATGGATAAATGGGTAGGCAGAACAACAACAGAAAGTAGATGAAAATCTAGTAACATAAAACAACATCGATTTTTATTAAACACAAAAATGCTGGCACGATATGTACATTATATCGTAAAAGTTGTTTTTTATTCTCTTTATCGTTGACAATAGCAGTTTTTATTTATTTAATTCTTATTTTTTGTTTACTTTTAGTTTTAATTCTATGTTTTTCTCTGTTTTGAATACTCGAATTATCTATAATATTATTTACACGAATAATTTTTTTTTTCTTTCATAAGGCACATTCGATATTACATCGACAATGAATCGCGTGGCGCATCACGATTATATTTTACTTAAAACTCAACGGAATACACATTTCTGTTGTTTTTTTTTTGTTTTGCTTTATAATCTTACATGGAGTATGTCACTTTCACTTATTGATGATATGCTGCTGCATAATACACGCGCATTCCTCATTAGCAAACGTAGAAAAACGTCCTCGATTGCTCACGTCATATAAATTTTACCATAAATTTTCTTTATAAATACTTAGACATGCGTATTTCATAAATTATTCGCGTAATATGATAACATCTTAAATGCATAAACATAAATTACATTCGTAATTCTCTTTTAAACACAATACTTTTGTAGAAACTTGAAAAATAATTAAAGACGCTCGTTCGGCATTGAAGCGAACGAATTAACAACGGATACAATTATAAGTAGAATGATATTGCATGATTGGATTTTCAAAATCAATCAAATACATACGATTCTCTTGGAAATTGAATCGTTACAAATAGAATACGTTTTTATTGTAAATAACGCACACACACACACACACACACTCACGCATTGCCTTTCGTTTCGAGTACCGTACCTCTGGAATGGTACATAAAAATGTAAATGCCATCGAACGCAAAATCTCAACAATTCATTGGCAATCTCCAAGTCTGGTGTATCGTTACAATCACACGTAAATATATGTACACAATACACTTTACAGTCAGGATTAGAATCGTGGATTTTACGATTGAGCGAGCACGCAGAAAAGTTTTTTCGAGCACACGGTAAATACAAACGAACCACTCGATCGATTTATTCGGAATAATTGGCAACTATATATGTATATAGAATAAACATAAATTGAATAAGAGTAAATCTAAACTTATCCTTTCTTCCCTGACTCGTATATAAAACGCCGGATAACTTTATTACTCTTCCTTCCTATCCTGTCTCTCGCTTCCTTCCTAAATCCTCATAATTTTTAAACGAAGACGCAATTTATTTGTCTCTATCATTTGCACAGCACCATTCATTGCGAATCTTATAATGCGTAAATCCTATCAAACCACTCAGATTAAATTTCAATAACGATAATCTTATGCTTTTGAATCACATTAGTATCGCTCGCGCAACGATCCACGCGCATACTCACGCACACACAGACATTCTCTCGCTCCTGCCATAAAAGTAGAAACGATTAGACGTAATATATCATGTGGAATCGATAGTATTTTATCATTTTCAGTAATTTTAAGGACTACATTTTAACCGATAATAATAATATATCATATATTTTTTTTTCTTTAAGTCTAAAATAAAAACTGGCATTGCATTTTGAAAATCGTAGATTTGACAAGTACAGATATCTAAATAGATAGTCATTATTTTACAGAAATGTACAAAAAAGGTCCTACACATTATTATAATCGAGAATAGCGCATATATCATGTATATATTATAATATATAATTGTGTTTATGTATATCTATACATATTATATATATATCAAGTGCAAGTGTAAGCATACATGCGAGTAATGTGTATGACACATTCGCCTCGATACATGCGTACAATCACCGCCATTTATCATGAAAAAATATATAATCAATTATTCTCGCTTGTCTCTTCCCATTATTATTATTATTATTATTAATGTTTTTTTTCTGTTACACATATAATGTGCGCGTTTTGACAGTGGTATATAATAATTAACGATAGACAATTGATATATATTCATAATAATGCATATGTAAAGACGCAGTCTCGAACACAATTTTATAACACGATTATTCTTGGTCGTCGTCTTGGAACTTGGCGTCTAATAAGTCTTGGGTCACGCACTAATCATCATCATCGATCGGTCGATCGATCGCACGCGCTCTTGGAAGAAAAAAATGAAAAAGAGTCTCCAAGAACCACGGGAGAGTCGAGCCTTTTTAAATAAAAAACAGAAGAAGTCTTGGAATGTATATTGTTGTATCATCATCATTATTATATGCGTAACAACGCGCCGTCCCTCTTTTTGTTTTTCTTTTAATTGTAATAATAATAATAGTTGTAGTAGTGCTACTGGAGTTGGAGCGCCCTCAAGGGTACGCGATATCACAGCTTCGAGGGATCGTAATTCTCGAACGCCCATCTCTGTCGGGGCGCCGTCAGCGAGCAGTCCTCCATCAGCAGGCGCTGCTTGCTCTCGGTTATGGCCAAGCACTTGCCGCTGCTCTCGTGGCGAATCTGCTTCGTCTGCGGAGGGGAAAAAAGAAAGAAATTGAGAACGTATTCTAATTTGCGTTGAAATCATTAGGTAAAGTAATACCCACCTGTGTATTGTAAATCCATTGCTGATTGCCCTTGCTGCCGTGGCAAGGATAGAGTATGACGTCGGTGCCGCTGTAATCCAGACACGACTCGTCCCGGCGAATCTCGCCGGTCTTGCTCAGCATCCAGTACTGCGCGAGGGAGAGAAGAAAAAAGAATAATAATTAATATACGTCCCTCTCGTGGCGTGCACAAAAGCACAGACTCAGGCGCAAAGTCGATATTACAAGGATAGTAAGGTGATACGGGAGGGCAAGAGGCAAAAGATATATAGAGAGTCGCATGCGTTTATGTATACGGTTAATGAATAATTCGTTCACCTCCCCACGCTTCGGTGGACTTACAAACACGTATTTAATTCATATATCTCTGCGCGAGTGCTGTATATACCATTAGTGCGTTTAATTAATTTTGCATTGCGTGCGCAGCTCGATCTACGATACTACCGACTACTAAGCGATGCGTATTATATTGTATGTATAGAAAAGCAAAAAGTATACAAACTACTATATACGCAAAAGCAGATAGAGAGAATTAGCCTGATCGATGCGGTTTTATTCCCGGCTGGAATGCCGCCGAGTTTTTCCTTTACAGTTTTAAGCTTCGACGGCGGCAATGGCTAAATACGATTTTTCAATTTGTACGCGCCACGCTCGCGACTCGGTAAGTAATTAAAAAAAAAAAAAAAAAGGAGAGAGAAAAGAGGCAAAGCCGCGCTTAGAAGCAGAGAGCCCTCGATAAGGTCGAAAGAGAAGAGACGCAATTGTCTCTCTTCTCTCTATCCTTTTTTTTGCTGCTGCTCTGAAATAGTTTCGCGGTAAATATATACGTATACGCCGCGGGTGAGAGGGCCCGCCCCGCCGTTAATTCCTTTTATTACGAATTATTTACACGAATTTAACTGCCGCGACACGGCATGCGCGCGCCAAGTATAAGCGGCGGTGTATATACATACAGATATAGAGCACAGCGTAGTGCGCGCGCGGACTTATGAATCAACATTATCGTTAACGAGAAAACTTTTCATCAGATATCATAGTATAGTCGCGCTGCAACTCCGGTCGTTATAATAGAAACAATAGAGCCGGGGTGGGCTCGTCTCCGTACATCATAAGAATTAAACAAAAGACAAGTAAAAGTCTCATTATTCTCTCTACTCGCGACGACGACGACTACGTGGTAGGTACGTCTCTTTCTCTTACTCTTTTTCGCTCGAGTAGCGCCGGGCACGCGCGCGGAAAGGAAAAACAAAAAAGCCTCTTTTCTTTCTCTCCTTTTATCGCTGGTTACGCTCGATGATGTGATTCATTCTTACATTCGCGAATGCTTTATTAGCTTGGATTAGGAGAGAGCTAAAAATTGCCGGGCGTGACGCGAGGCGATTACCACGCGTGTAAACCACTGCAATCGGCTAAGCATACAACTATAGCTACTACAGACATGCCCCACACAATGAACATTTATTAGTACAAGTATATAAGAACTAAAAATCGGCTCGATCGATTCTAATTGAGGAACGGAAAATTCATGGTCGATGTCACTCGAGTTGTAACACACATTTACACACTCGCGCTGTATAATAATACACGTATATGGAGCGGGGGGGTGTCTCTCTTTCAGCGCGACGCGTATATATGAATAATAAAAAGCAATACGTCCGCTGTCCCCAGCGCGCCGATTAATCTGCTGCCTGCGAGCGCGAGAGGGTGTATATGGGATACCACTGGTATAGTATAGTCGGATATCTGGCGCGCGACTGCCTATAGCAGCAGCAGTGGCAGCAGCACCCACACCTTCCCGCGCGTAGGTATATACGTTAAACCTGTTCAAAAGAGCAACAGCGAACAAAAGAGCTTCGTTTGTCAGAATGAATAACTGCACGGTGTCACGTATAAGTACGTATGTATGCATGTATGCGCGAGCGCATTCATTTGGACTGTTATGTGCGCGCGCCACCGAGGCCAATCACGATTCTCATTGATCGAGCCAATTTTTTGCACAGCCCCTGTGGATACTATACGTATATAATGATACACGTCCGCATTTGGACACTCGCGACCATCGCCAATTTGCCACAGATAGAGATCCCCAATCACCGTCACCTGCGTCATAATAATAATAACAACAATAATAATGATGATATAGTGCGAGTCCACCACCTGTGTGAGAAAACCAGTTATGACTAATGTCCCCGCTGCGCACAGAAAAAAAAGACCCCAAAGTATGGACGAGAGCGTGTAAGTATGCCAGTGGTATGAGTAGTAGCAGCAGATATGATAATAATGCAGGCGGATATAGGTGGTCGCGTGTACCTGATTGCCGCCTTGATTATGACACTCATAGAAGCCTACAGGCTGCTGCAGGTCTTCCGGGTTGCCGGGCGAGTCAATGCACATACCGCTACTCAAATGCCGGATCTGCAGCATTTTTTGCAGGTTTTGTTTTTGTTTAATGAATGAGAAAAAATATGAAAATGCGTGTAAAAAAGAGTTTTTTTTTAGATAAATGAGAAAAATATTAATGAACTGGATAATGAAAAGCAAAATAACAAAATTATCGACACACACAGAGGATGATGACAACACTTATGTAACAACAGTGTGTAGAGATGACCAGGATGACGATGATTCCCCATAAACAGTATGCTGTGGTGGTATTATAAATTATAAAATACTTGATTCACTATGTATAAAAAAGATGGATAAAACACATAAAAAACATAACACGATAAATAGTCATAAATAACAAGCAGAGCTAATGAAGCAAATTTGTACACACACACAAAAAGTACACACACATAATAATTGATGCATCTCGTAAAACAGAGAGGAGGCTGTCTACGTTAAATGTATAAAACGCAGGGAGGCGAACTCGATATGTACACTGCGCTCAAACGACGTATACACGCACACAGGTCGTCGAAATTTATGCGACGCCTGCCTTGGAAAAGTAAACAGAGATATTTCGACTCCGACGTTTATACGTTTTAATTGAAAATATCCTCGAGGAGCAAAGTGAAAAAAAGCACAACAGCTTTGCTTTTCACAGGCGCGCGTGAGTATATACGTCGTGTATTGTAGCAGTACATGCGTTATAATAATAATGATAAGAAAAGGGGGTAGCAGTGGTAAATCAATCGACGGCCGGTCTGTCTGTGTGATGCTGAAGGTGTCGTGTTGTACCTGGTTGCCTCCTTGGCGATGACACGGATAGAGTCCAGCCGGTTTGTGCAAATCGCTCTTTCGTGCCGGCGAGTCCAGGCAGGCGTTCACCCCCTCGCCCAGGTTTCTCACCTACAATTTCGGGGTCACACATGACATACAGGTTTATTGACATTTGTGATTCGTGGATATTGTCATTATTATTATTAGATGTATACTATGCAATGACAATAATATATTATAAAACTCGGGTGAATTATGTCCTCCGATGTACGCTGCTGCATCTCTCCTCCGAAATATCTCACACTCACACGGTGTGAAGTATACGTTATCGCTCGCACCTACTATACGTATAAGGACCATGTGTATGTATATTTTCATAATGCACGTATCGCGTTGCAGTCACGTTACACGTAAACCGACACTCGCCGATATTGCGCTACGAATATATACCCGGGGCACAAATATCCATTTACCTTCGTTACCACGTTTGCTCTCAACTCTCGCGCGCCAAGCATTATTAATAACAATAATAAAAAGAAGACTTTGCGGCTCTCTCGGACTCGAGTGCAACAACAACGACTAAAACTACGAAAACAAAAACAACAACAACAATGATTGCGCGTGTAAATACGGGGGGCGGCAAAGTTACTCGGCGATAAAGCGCATTTTAATCGCTTCCCTCGGCGCAACAGAGAGAGAGAGGATTACTTCCGCGGATGGTGGTGGTGGAAAAAAAACACACGCTTCGATAAAACGACAAGCTGGAAACGCGAGCACAGAGCGCAGCGCGCCCGATGAGCAGAAGCAAAAACGGTATAGCGTGAGATTTTTTTCGTTTTTAATAGCATCGGAGTTTGCGAGAGCTTGCGCACATATATATAGCAGAGTAGTGCCTCTACACACGCTACGTACGTACTTCTGCTCCACGTATATGTATAGCACTACTAGTAGTAGTAGCAGCAGCACGTAGAAATGAAAAAACAACAATTTTGAACTAAAATTCGAGCGATAACGTAACTCACTTCTCTCGTGTGCATATGTCTGTGTGTATGGGCTGGAAAAAAAAGGTCAAACCGATGTATATACGGTGGAGCTTTATTAGAGCGAATGCACGCCTGAATTTTTTTCCCCGTTCTCTCGTCGCTTTGTGCGGAGAGCTCGTCCTATTTGCTGCAGCTGGAAAAAAGAAAGGAAGAAAGAGAGTTCTCCCAAGGAGAGAGAGAACACGCGGATAAAAGCGAAATTCATGATTTTCCTCTTGCACATCATTAATTTTTCGACTTGATTTTTGCTCCCTTCTTTCTCGTTTTGCAGCACGTCCACACACACTCCACCCCTTGACGAACGAAATACATAACGTTATGACCTTTTTGGACGGCGTAGAGCCTCGATGTCGCACAAAGGTGTTTAATTTCAAAAGAGCAGCGCCATATCGGATACTTCTGGATGGGGGAAAAAAAAAGAATAAAAATAAACGCCAGGAGAACGAACGGTTTAATGCACGTGTTAACGACGTCGTCGGCTTTGAAAATCTTATATATTATACGTATTATAACGGAGCCGAGAAATATCAAGCGCGCATCGCGCGTAATAACTATAAATTTCAGAATCGATCGCTGCTACGTGATTCGAGTCGCGGCGTCGTGCACCGTGTAAGAAGCTTCGCGATATCCTTCACTTTACCTCTCTCTCTCACTGAATGACTCCGCGCGATATCGTCGCGACGATCAGCAGCAGCAGCAGCAGTAGCAGCACATATATCTATGTATATAGGCGCTTTTCTGTGCATATACAGCCAATAGCGAAAAAAGGAGAGAAAAAAAAACCGATTTCCAGAGAGTGAGAGAGATATGGTAAAAGGTTTCGAGTGAGGGGGAGCCGTTATATCGACCCTAAAGTAGCTGGTATAGGCGAGCTTTAAACCGTCAACTTTAAATATAAAGCTCGTCTAACGCGTACGGTTTTTTTCTCTCTCTCTCTCTCTCTGCCTATTTAATCAAGCGTAGAAGCCGTGAAATTTTAGCTAGTACGCGTATGTACGTATGCTCATAGCCGAGAGCGAGAATTACAAAAACAAACAATTCTAAAAACGCGTCGGAAAGATATAATGCAAAACACAATGCGAACAACACCGCTACCGCTGGCTACCGCCGTGCCACATAGCTCTAGGGTAAAGATACAAACGCATTTGTCTCTCACTCTACTGCTGCTTCTCTCAGTGCGTGGCGCGTTGGGGGAAAAAAAACAACAACGACAAAAAAAACGTAAATTTAGTTATATCTAACGCGGCCAGGTAAACAAGGATTTGAATCACAAGCCGTAGTGTGCGGGTACATGCACAAATTTATTATTTTCCCCGCGAAAATATACATATCAAGCAGAGAGAGAGAGATTGATTTATCAATTGCGAAAGAGGACGAGTTCGAGCTCGCGGCCAAAGCTATAAATCAATGCGGGACCAAAAAACATGGCGGTCTGGTAGTTTTATTTTTTTTTTTTTGGCTTCGCGTGAAAGACCCGCACGACGACGACGACGACGACGACGACGACGACGACGACGACGACGCGACACAGTCATGAAATATTCAGAAAGTTGCGTTTACGGTGTGTCTGTGTGGGTGCATAAGAACGACAAAAGAAGAGATGAATTCGTCGCTGCGTGTATTCTTTCGTAAAAGAAATGGGGGCTCGCGCGCACGATAAATTTGTCGACGATGTGCAAAATTCCAACAATGAGCTTCGCTTCTTCTCCAACGACGATGATCGATGGAGCATCCTAAAAAGTAGTCCAAAATCGTAAGTGTAAACATGGAAAAAAAAGTGGAACGAAATATTTTAATCAGCAGTCGTGGGTTTCCAAGCCATCGCGGAGCGAGCTAAAAAAGAAAGGTCAGAGCACGAATGAATCTGTTAGCCGTGGCTACGAATACACACCTCGCCCGACGCCACGGCCTCGCCGGGTATGAAGAGCTCCGGATAGATGTTGTCGAGGTACCACTTGAAGGACTTGCAGCCGAGATTCTTCCTCAGGGCTTTGCGCTCCGACACGTCGCCGAAATTTCCCTGTTTTATTATAAACACACAAACAGAGACACACGTAAGATGTCACATACAACGATATAATTGACGCGTTACATATATAGCGAAATGCTGTCGTCGTCGACGACTTGTCTAACCTTGTCGTGACCTATCCTCTGATAGTAGTACTTGGCGTACTCGTCGAGCCAGACTTCGCTGAGCCTGATGCTGTTCCTCTTGAGCACGTTCACGCCACTGCGCCATTTGTAGGGTGAGCGTTTGCGGAAGATGTGTCCGACGTGCGAGCACGGCACGATCTCCAGCGTACCTGTAGTAGTTGGATGGTATACGTGTATTATTGTACATAGACGTTATTAACTTTGCTCCGTATTTTTTCATACTTATATATATACACCTGTGTATAGATATATAAATCATCGAAGAGAAAAAACAACAAAAAAAAAAGGAAAAACGAGCTTGCAGCAAGAGGTGAGTGCGAGGAGAAAGATGTTTGTTCTTTCTATATTTATAAGAAGAAATGGAATTGTCGTGTTTCCGCCGAGAGCAATGCTTTTAAGGAAGATTGTTTGTTTTGTAATAAAGCGAACGAACAAAAAAAAAAGTCGATATATATTTTTTTCTTTGCTGCTACTCAACGCTCAGGTGGAGAGCTCGTTTCAAAGCGAGTGCGAGAAAATTTCGATTGGCCGCGCGCGCGGTTCTCTCTTTCGTATAAGATACAAAAAATACAGTTATATCCAGCCAAACTGGATTGTTTCCTTCTTCTTTCTCTCTGCCCCTTGCTCTCTTACCTCCGCACATCCAGGTCTTGAACGAGAGCTCGAGATTCTCGCCGCCCCAGATATCGAAGCCGCTGTCGTAGGTGCCGAGTCGCTCGAAGAACTGCCGATCGATGGCGAACAGGCCCCCGGCCATGGTGGGCGACCACACGGGCTCCGCCGGGTTCTTGTGGCGCTTCTTCTCGCGCTCGGGCACGCTGTGCCAGTTGAACTGGAGATTCCAGTCGAAGCCGCCCACGTTCACGCCGCCCGAGTCGCGCCAGTGATACTCGAGGGTCGTGTCGTCGATCACGTCGATCACGGGACAGACCACGGTGGTCTGGTTGCGCGCGATGCGATCGAGGAGGGGCTCGAGCCAGCCCTCGGTGCACTCGCAGTGACTGTCGAGGTAGGTGAGCACGGGCGCCGTCGCCACGGTGGCGCCCAGCAGGCGGGCGCGGATGAGACCCTCGCGCTTCTGGGCGCGCAGTATGCGCACCTTGGGATAGTTCATCATGTAGTCTTCCAGTTGGCGTTTCAGGTGGGCTGGAAGCAGAAGAGAAAAAAAATTAAAGTCGGCTTATAGTACGACCGTATAAAGGATCAGCGATAGCTCGATTGATTATCGGCAGGACGAATTAAGCGACGCGATGTGGTTATACAAAGGACGCCTGCGCGTTGGTGGTGCTCGATTTAATCCTCATTAATATTGTAGCGCGATACTCGCGCAAGTCGAGCTTGCAATCAGATCGATCCTCGCCTCGCCTCCCTCGTATATAATACAGCATCAGTATACAGAGAGCCCAGCAAGAGCGAGATCCGAGAGGCAGAGCTTGATTTATTCGCGAATAACAAAATACCTCAACGTGTGCGTATGTATAGTATATACCACGACGTACGTACGCTCATCTTCTCGGATCTTAAGCTTTATGCGGATTAAAGCTTGCAACGGTGCAAAGGGGATCAGTGTGATGTTGGCGCCCTCCCCGCACGGCCTGCCTGTCTGCTTGTGTATACCTACTAGAGGCGCACGAGTTGCCTATACACTACTCTCGGCTCTGTTTAGAACCGGCAGCGGGAGAGAGAAAGCGGTTTATGACGCTACCGAGGTAAAATCGCCCCAAGGCCTATTATCGCTGCGCGAATTTACATGACGCGCCGCAAGCGCCTCGATGCCGCCTATATACTATACTCGAGCTATGTATGTGTGCGCAAAGGACAATCAGCCTAATCTTCCCTATGAGTAGCTGAAGAGCTAATCCGGGATTTTACTTGATCTACCTACCTACCACCCCTCGCGGCCACTCGTACGTCGATCCCACATCTTTTTTTGCCGTTTTTTTTACTTTAATTCAATCTTCGTTTTTTTTTCAGCTTAATATATTTCACGCGCGTCGAGCCGTGTACGTAGCCGCAAGCACACACACACACTCGATAATGGAGAAATTATTGTCGCGCACGTTTCCCAAACGACGCGAGCCCCGTAGTTGGCAAAAATAATTATATTTTGTTATTGCTCGTTTGCCGAGAGTACGCGCGCGCGAACGTGGGCACGTGAAAAAAGTTATAACGCCGTCTCGTGGTCGTCGTCTCGCGACCAGCTGTGTGTGTCGTTGTTGTTGTTGTGTTGAGCTTTTTTTTGCGCTTGCAAATTACTGCACCCGTACGAACGAACGAACGAACGAAAAAAAAGGCAGAAGAGCTGCAGCACGAGCCGCAGACACATAACAATGTTTTCGATTTTAATTACGACGATGATAATGATACAATTACGAGTCCCCGGACGCTTTTTCGCAATTAGGCCATCCCCGCTTCGCGTATGAGGCAAACAAAAAGTATATAATGAAACGACGTATAAACTTTGTATTTTATGTGACTTACGCATGTCGGAGTAGTCGTCGACGAGAATGATCTCCTGGATCAGGTGATCGGGCGATCGATCGAGCACCGAATGCACCGTGCGCAGCAGCACCGACCACGCCTCGTTGTGGAAGCAGATGATCACGGCGGTCGGGGGTAGGTCCTTCTGGTATCGGCCCGGTTCTTTGCACCTGTAAACACAGACAAAAGAAAATACGTTAAAATGGTTATTTTACTGTAGTGGCACACAATTTTGGGATCATCATCATCGGGGTATAGAGGCAGGCAAATATAGAGTAAGAGCGAGCTTTTCACTCCGAATTTGAACGCACGCGCTCTTGCATAATTTGTCGAAAAATATGAGGCAAGAAGCATTAACGGAGTAATTTCATGAGCTGATTCAATTTGGCAAGGTAGATTGTATGTGTGAGTGTATGTGCAGGACTCCTTCTCTCTTACTCGCGCGCGTTTATATATATAGTACGTTGAAGAGATATTTTAGAGCGGAGCAAAACTCGCTCGCTCGGCAAGTGTGCTCGCTGCCGCTGCCGCTGCATGGCTATGGACATAGAAGTGGTAGGATTAATTTTAGTTGGATGACATTAGACTTATTAAAGTTCAGAGTAAGAGAGAGAGTGGCGGAGAGAGCATTGGTGGGGCTAGTGGAAAATAAATTACTTGCACGCACGCGTGCACACAACCGGGGCGGCTACATCCTAATGAATTTCAATTAGCCACGAGGGAGAGAGGAGAGAGAACAGAGAGGATTAATATAAAATTTTCACAAGTAAAATGCAAATAATTCGCGCTCGCAAGCTCGCCCGCCTCTTCTATTTATGTGTTTGTGCTCGCTCTCTGTTCAGCGTCGCATATGCCCGGATTACCGAGCCAAAAGTGTGCGACGACGCCGAGGCGGTGCTCCACACACACACACACACACACACAATCGACACATCCATCCTACGACCGACGACGACGACGAGTTGCGATAGACACCAATGCGCCAGCCCAGCCCAGAGCCAGCCAGCGAGGGCAAATGTACTTTTGATCTATAGGATATAAGAAGAAGAAGCTGCTGCTGCCGCAGAGAGCACAGAGCCCTTTACCCCCTTTCCCCCAACCCATCCACCAACGTTCTTGAGGTTGCCACGTCGGTATGTGCAGCGCGGCGCAAGCTCCACTAGCTCACACAGAGAGAGAATAGCTATATATAGGTAACACACAAGTTCTGCTGAGCGAAGCTGAAAATCGAAGACGCGCGAGTGAGCGTCATTCGATCTGATTTTGCACAGCAGCAGCGGTAGCGGCAGCAGCAGAGCTCTCCAAGAGAGAGAGAGAGAGGAGCTTTTTCACCCTTATACTCGTGAAAGTCAATCGAGTTGAAAGAATCGACAAGTGCTGCTGCTGCTGCAACGCCGCTGAAAGAAGAGTAGTAGTATATACGTCGACTCCGGAGCTTAATACCACCGCACCGAGCAGATCTGCTCTGGCGTTGAAGTTAAGCATCGCTCGTCTCGCGAGCGTGTACGTTAATTGAATATTTCCATTGTGTATTTATTCGTAAATCTCTCTGTCTCTCGCGATCGCTCTCGATTTCTGTGCGAAACAAAAGGAAAAATTAACCTCCTATCTATGTCCTGTCTTTCTTCGGCGCGCGATCGAATCGGAGTCAAGCGAGTGTACATCATACATAATACACACAATCGTCGATCGTCGCGTACCTATCGAATGGCCAGCCGAGCGTGAAAAATTACTACCTGATCGACACGAATTTGATTCGATCGTCGCACAGCAGCAGCTCGTCTGCATTAATATGCCGGCCCCATCGTGTCGTCGTCATCGTTATAAAGCATTAAATTCGGTAAGCTCGACAAAAAAATAGACTCTATCAAACGCGAGATGAATTTTCCGATTTCTCGTGAGCGCTATTGCCACCAGTACCACCACGACAACTACTACGTCGACGAAAGGATTGGCAGCTGCTGCTACTACCGTTATATATACACACCGCTGCAGAGTGCGGGAGGAGGGCCGCGATAATGTAACGCAATTATCGATAAACTAGTCGATCGTTGTCGAACTCGTCGTACGTATATAATTCGAACAAAGCGTTTTCCCGCAGCTGCAATATTGCCGCCGTCGCTGCTTTCGCTGCTGTTGCTGCTGGCTTTGGGAGAGAGAGAGAGCAGCTAGCTTGAGTAGAAACTAGTACGCAAACTGCTAGTGGTATAGTACAGTATACGGCCCCGAACACCACCGACTTTGTTTCGTGTCCGTGTGTGTCTGTATGTGCACGTTGTAAACGCGTTCGCTTGTGTGCATAATGGCTCTGACGCGCAAGTGTGCTTAAAGGGTCCTGAAAGCTCGACTTTGTGCCACGAGCGACTTGCGAGATTCGGTTAGCCGACGAGAGGACCGGCGCTTTCACATGTCGCTTCTCTGCTGCAGCGTGTGTGTATATGTGTATGTAACCCACCGCGCACCGCACTGCATGCATACATACAGCAGCCCCGTTTATGGTTCCTATCCAGCTTGTGTGTGTGACTCGGAAAGTGATGAATGCATTACGCGCCGTTACGTGTTAATTATTTCGTCCACCCCCGCACGGTTAGCCAATTATTTTGCAACCTCCCCCTGCCACGTTGAAAATATTTCAATCGCGCATGAATTAATATTAGTGCCCGGAGAGTCTACGCGAGAAGCTCTCGCTAAAAATTCTTCTCACTCGCGTCGAATATTTCGAAAGCGGGCGAATTTAATCTAAATTTTTTCGAGCTCCGAGAACCCGGAAAAAAGGCAACGAGCCCCTTGTATGTATTACACAGGCTGTATATTACATAGTTCCGTTTGATTGATTTATAACAGTCGGCAGCATTTTTCCTCGTCCGGGTCTAATTGGATTTTGCGCGCGCGGTGTGCATAATGCAGCAGCACAGAGCGCCAACGATTAAGAAAGAAATGCGCGCCCTACTCCCGGCCCTTCAGGACTATTATTATCTTGTAGTAGATCGTGTTAGAGATTTATTTCGGGTAAAAGAAAATCCTCCGTGAAGAGCATCTAACTCGATTGGCTGCTCGGAGCCGCCGCCGCCACCACCACAGACTTGAGATTTCTTTTTCGCCCTTACATACCTCGAAGACGCCTAGCTAAGTATAGAAATTCATGTTGATGAATGTGTGTGTGTGCTCGAGCCCCCGTTTATAATATGCACGCGAAGCGCTGCAGAACATAAATTTACTTCAGCCTGTTTTTGACAGATCGAAACGATGGAGCGCCGTTGCCGCGTTGCAGAGTTGCATCGATGAAAATGTTTGCGCAAAGTCATGCGCACACACTGAAATTTCCTAGCGAGCTTTCGGATATATAGGGGGGCACAAAGAAAAAAAGCTAGAAAAAAAAGCTAAAAATAAAAAATATATGGCGTAGTTGCTTCTTCGGCTAATGGACTATTTCGCTCGGCACGTGAGGAAACGCATCAGGTACATAGTACACCATCGCACACGTCATTCGCACAAACTCGGTCGTTTTCGCTCGTTAATGATTCGCGCAGTCTCACTGCTCTGTGTGTGGCGGTGTGCTGCCGCTCGTCGGTCGGTCGCAATTTCTCAAAGTTGCGCGAGAGAAAATAAACGTATATAGAGCTCGATCCGTCACTCGCGCACCAATTAATTTCTCTCGCGCGAGATATCTCGGACGCAGCCCCCGAATAAAGTTTCGTGAATTATACTCGATTTCTTTTTTTTTTCCTTTTTTTACACCCAAAGCCCGTAGCTCTGCGTTATCGACCACATTGGAGAAAAGTGGAAGCACCGCCGCCGCCACCGAGGACTACTACTGATACCTACGTGTAGCGGAGCAAGAGGGTGGAAAATTGAATTTTCGCAGCCCGAGACGCAGACTTTATACGTATGTATATAGATATCTACGCGGCTCGATGGGTCCGAATGATTAGGGCTCGGAGTGTCCGTACAGCGTTGCTCTCTCTCTGCAAGCTCGAGAAGTCGTCCCCCGATCTCGAAAGGAGATAACCGAAGCCGAGGCAAGCACGAACACTTTCGAACACGTTTTACCAAGAATTTAGAAATTATCTTACGAAAAATCACGCGAATATTTTCCCTTGTTTTATAATTTTTCCGAAAAATTTCGCAGCGCGTAAATCCCCCCGGTAAAACGCTTTTGAAAATTTTCCACTTTCAACCATATAGCTTCTCAGCTATAGAGTATCTCGTCCTTAATCTCGGTTCTCGCGCTCACGAAACGCATTTGCCGTTATATCTGCGGAGCATGCATTAAAGTTTCCGATCAAAGACGACGCGACGCGACGATGCCGTTGCTTACACTCTCGTGAGGCGTGCTCAGTGGCACGGCAACGGCGGCAACGAAGACGTCGCCCAATATGTACCTTGGCGCGCGCGCGATTGCGACAAGCGCGTCGTCGTCGTCGTCGTGCAAGAGGGAGAAAAGGGTGGGATCGAGTGAGAGATATCGAGAGGCGACGAGCTTGTTTAAGTTGCGCGTCGTAACCGAAGTTGAAAGTTTCAAGCTCTGATATGAGCTCTCTCTATATCTAGCTCTTCTCGAATTTTCGAATGAAAATCGCTCGTTAGAATCGGGGGTTGATCCGCACGCCCGAACTGCCGAGACGCGTGTGTGTGTGGCTTCGAGCCCTACGTCGTTAAATCGAATAATAAATATGATGAATTGCAAATAACAACTACCGGAAGGAAACGTATCGCGGTCATTAGGATAGATAGATAGATAGATAGGTTTATTAATAAATGGCCCAGGACAGTAGTCCTTTATGGCTCGTACAAAAGGTTAAAATACATCAAGCCATGCGCCACTTGGCAGCAGCCAACGGCACGGTAAACAATATAAATTCAATAACAGTGTAAACATAGAGAAAAAAGAAAATAAAAAAAGTACAAAAACAAGTTAGATTTCAAGCATATGCTGCCGCAGAAGCCTCTTAAAGCTCACATTTCCGTATTTCCGCCTGAGACTGCAAGGCAATTCATTCCACAAGCGCGCCGCTCCAATTGTGAATGAAGAGCAGGCACACTCAGTAGTAGCCCTGACAACGACCAACTCGAGCTCATCTCTTCTAGTGCTGCGGCCCGCAGGGGCCTCCCGAAATTCAAACTCTGCGGACCAGTAGTCAGGCCCACCTTTGCGTAGCACAGACGCAAG